GTTTCCTTTCCTGTGTTTTAGGAGTCTTGACAAGGATGTCAGGTCCTGTGCCAACATCCTGGAGTGCTGGCTCTGCATTTTCTTCTAGCAGCTGCAGAGTTTCGGTCTAATTTCTACGTCTTTGATCCACTTTGACTTTGACCCACAGTTAACTTTCTGACAGGGTGAGACATGGGATCAGATTTCATTCTGCCGCACACGCATTTCCTGTTTTCCTAGCACCATTTGTTCAGAATGCTCCCTTTCCAACACCTTTGTCTGGTGCTGGGTAACTGTGTTCACGTGGGCTCGTCTCTGTGTCCTCTGTCGTGTCCCACGGTCTTCATGTCAGCCAGTGCCCGGAAGCGTTCTCCAGAGGCCTCACCTCTGCTCTCTGCCTCCATCTCATCGGTATCTGGTCTCCACACTGACACCTGTGTCTCTGCTCAGGCCTCGGCCCCCAGGCCAGGAAGCGGATTTGAAAGGTGCCAGGGCTTCCCCAGGCCGGTCGCCATGTGGATCTCAGCTTAGGTACCACAACCCCGGTGGTGGGTCATGAGGTTCTCAGGGTTTGTGTCTGAACCTGCGATCCTCCTGCCTCAGCCTCACTGACAGTGTCAGCAGAGGCCAGGGACCCCTAGACGTTAGGCAGCTCACTCGGCAGAGTCTTGGCCTCCAGTGATCCTATCTCAGGGCTCATGGGAGCCCAGAGGAGACCAGGCAGGGGCTAGGTGGGGGAATTGGGCAGGGGTACACCAAGGGAAGGGCTCTACAGGACTGGGCAGGAGTGGGCACTAAAAGGGCCAGAGACTGGTGCACCCTGGGGAAGTGGCAATGGGGCGCAATCCAGGGAGACCCCCATGTGCCACACCAGGCTGCCAGGCACACGCAGTGCCCATACCCACACCACCCCAGCCCTCGCAGCACCAGGATGTTTTTCCTTGATCAATAAAAAGGGGGGCCTCATCTGTACCCACGTAGACACTGGAGCACACACATCAGAGACCACCCTGCCTTGTCCTGCACCCCCCCCCCGGGCCCACAGTACCTGCTCCTGCCAGTGCTGCTCTCCCCAGCCCCATGTGGTGCTGCACCTGAGCAACTTAGTAGAGCCTGCCTCAAAATGAGAAGTAACAAGGCCTGGGGTGTAGCTGGGTGTAGAGCAGCCCTGGGCTTGATCCCAGGAATTGCCCAAAAAAAGAAGGAAAAAAAATTGTCCAGTGGCTAACCTTTTAGATTATCTTGCACTTATTAGATCTTAAAAAAAAAGTCACTGTACTTTTATTAGATGATAAAAGCTCAAAGGTGAGAGGACCCTATTAAGCACTTAATCTTATAGGAAAACCTTAAGCTTGGTTTTCTTTGATGATGTCCACACATAAGCAATGTGAAGTCTACCCACTTCTAATTTATTTGACTAAATGTTCACGGCCATGAGCAGCTGACTTTTTAAATTATTGGAGTTATCTTATTTGAGGAATTTAACATGTTTAATTAGTGATAAGAAAGTAATAAAAGCCTGGTTTCACATGCTTACACACTTAAATAAGGAGTAAAACTTTCAACACTTCAACAGGAAAATCTTTGAGTTCTTGCCTGTGTGGTGTGGGCTAAATTTAGGATGGGACAAAAGAAGTAGAATCGGTGATCATTTAACTTATATTACAATAGACAGGATGAAATAGGATAATTTTAGTTCCTTCACAAAGGTGATGGAACTCTTCCGTAACATCAGGAGTCGAAAGCCTCACTTGGCGCCATGTGAGTGGAAGTGGAAGATAGTTTCAGAATGCACGATTAAGTTCTTTTTTCTACATACTTTCTCTGATGAATTAGAAAATAGTCATGCTATGGACACCCACTCAGTGGGAAGCATGTTGAATTTGAGAGATGAGAGACACCATGGTATCTTGCCTGTCTCCACGTTCCATGTTCAGAAAGTGCTCTAACTTTTCATTGCTAAACAATAATATTGAAATAAGACCTAATAAAGTTCTTCCAGACCAGTTACATTCTGCCGCAAAATCAACCCTAAATACAACGAAAGTAGCAAGAGATGGGAGGTGTGTGGGCTCTAGGACAGCTCCTTCCTGACAGCCCAAGACACAGAGGTGGCTTACCTTTGCTGCTGTCCGTAAAATGTCAGCTGTGAAACTGTTTTGTCAGATGCATGGCTGCCTGCAAAGCTTTTAAATGTAGAAAGGCAGATAATCTCCACATGGACCCCAAAAGGTGGTTTTTGAAGATTTCCATCTTTGTATCCAAAGGTCTAATCTATGTGCTCAGGCCACACTAGCTCCAAGTTCATGGGATTCTTGGGAAGAAGGAACATCAATTCATCAGAGTTGCTAAAAAGTCTTATTAACTTTTCTCCTTTAGGGTCAGCTGCAGTAAATTATTTTAAGAAGTATATCTAACCATCATAATTTTGCAAAATGCAAACTCAGTTGCATTGAAAATATTGCCAATATTCAGATTGATAATGTTTACTACCAAATAAAAGTTTATACAGTTTATACTATTAACACCATAAGACGCTCTCATGGCAGAATGCATGGTTTTTCCAGGGTGCTGTGAGTAATACAAAATAAAACCATGAGACCAGATGGTATTTCTGAATAAGTGACTCACACTGTATTCTAATGTGTACAAGGAACTATTTTTTAAAATAATATCTTTATTTTATTTATTTTTATGTGGTGCTGAGGATTGAACCCAGGGCCTTGCATGTGCGAGGCAAGCACTTTACCACTGAGCCACAACCCCAGCCTCAAGGAATTATTTTTTTTTTTAAATGCTTTATGGGAGGGAAAAAAACTTTTTTTCTTTCATGAAGGAAGTTTCTACAGCTATATTGCAATCACACTTCTGTTGGAATGTATGCTATTTCCCCAACATGACGGAAAAACTCAGTGTCTTGCCTAAAGTGAACACCATGTACAGTTTTGCATTGATTTTATCAAATTGGGATGAGTGAGCATTGTGCAGCTTTGAGCAATTTTCCACTGTTCCATCTGCCAGAGATGCCTACACCTCCTGAACTAAGTGGTCATTTCTGAAAGACAACAGGAGGCGATTTAGCAGGTGGTTGCTCTGGGAACTTACTATGACTTTGAATTTTTATTTCAAAGAGTTCCTATTTCACCATTGAAAGAATGAACCCAAGGTCATCACTAAAGTTATAAGACATGGAAGACAGGTTTCACAGTAGGGGATACAGGACAAACAAGAAGGGACCAGCCTGTTCAGTGTGGGTGGCATGCTACTCAGACTGTACTGACTGACATGATTTATCCTAGAGGTATTATAGTCCCTCACTGAATCTGTAAATGGAGATCAGGTGTGTGCAAATGTCAGTGAGCATGTAAATATCACAAAAGGAAGCAATGCCTCTCAAGCTCAATTGACCATGTGGTCCCTCAGCCCTTAGCTTGCCCCAGTGTGTCTTTCCAGGAAGCTTGAGTTGCTCTTCAATGAGGTGGCCCACATTTCCTCCTTCAACAGCAGGGACAATGTGCAGCTACCCAGGCTGCCCAGCTATCACTGGGCCATGTCCATGTACAGAGATGGCATAATGAATTCCATGGTTATGTATCATTTTAATGCATTAATTAAAAAAAAAATAAACCAAGGCTGCCACAGCAAAGAGAAGGCTGTTTTCTCTTGAAGTCAGATGGCTGCAAACTTTCCTGGCTGTACAAGTACTTTTTTTCTGCAAATTTGTATGTCCTTTGAGCGAAAAGGGCAACAAAAACCAGAAGGATCACCACAGGGAGCATCCTGCTGACGGACACCCTGGAAGATAAGACCCACACGTTATTTAGAAATGTCATCTGATTTCAGAGGGCACCACCACTTCCAGAGAATGCTCTCCCAGAGTAGTTCTCACCAACACACAGTGCCAGGGAGCTATTGCCATCAGTGTGTGCATGAAGTGGGGACCACGTTGGAGAAGTGGTGACCATTCCAGAAGGCTCTAGAAGCCAAAGCACACTGGATGTGCTTGGGAGAAGGCCATGCAAGGAGTGCCTTTTCTTTCTGCTGTTGCTAGGCACTGGCAGCTGAGAGGGTCAGGGCAAGTGGCCAGGCCAGAGTCCTGCCCTGTCCACACACTCCTTCCTTGCCAGGGTGGGCAGGGCCTCCAGGGTTGGCAAAGACACTGGGCTCGGGGAAGTCGGACAGCCTCAGCCTTGCCAACTGGGAACACAGCAATGCACTGGGAATCGCCAGCTCTGTGCCAGCACAGGGACCTTAGGGCACACTTGGGCAAGAGGAACCTCTCAGCAGGGAGTGAAGAGCCCCGGTGGCTCACTGGCCAAGTCCTTCTGTGTCCCTCACTCCTGGTGACCAATGTGAGTGTTTGATTGAGCGATGTCCTTTCCCTACTCCCTCCCTCCCCTGTTCCTCCTGCCCTGAGTCTGCAAGGCTGGCCTATGCATCCCAGCTGCCGCCTCTTGGCCTGGCCCCTGTGGGTGGGAGCAAGAGGACTGCAGCAAGGAGCCAGGGAGACCAGGCAGGGAGTGCTCTGGGAACTTACTATGACTTTTAATTTTTATTTCAAAGAGTTCCTATTTCACCATTAAAAGAATGAACCCAAGATGATCACTAAAGTTGTAAGACATGGAAGACAGGTTTCACAGTAGGGGATACAGGACAAACAAGTCCAGAACAGAACACCAGCAGATGACCAAGGACATCATCATATAAGCCTGAAGGTGAGGGGCTTGTCCAGCATGGTCCAGGGTCTGGGTCCAGTCCCAGCAAAATATATATATATATATATATATCTCCAAGCCAAGTTAACATACAGATCTTCTACCACTAAGAAAGCTAAAAACAAGCATCAATAGAAACAAATCCAATTTTAATATTTTTCTGAGGTGTTATTTGCTCCAACACCATCTGAAGTCAACATTCTAGATTATTAAAAGTCACAAAGTTATAGAAATATTTTCCTTTTTGAAAACCATGTTCATGTTTTTTCCCCAGGAAACAGGGGGATGCCTGCAAAGTCTTCAGCTGACAGCATGACCCACACAGCTAGCTGGGGCTCCTTGGAGAGAAAGGTCTTCCTGGTGTTCTGATGACCCCTGGTCCTCTGTCTAATCTGTAAACAGGAGGAGATGGGGATTATATTCCTGGTGCCACACTGTGAATTCAGTGAAGGCGAATAATGCACAAAACGAGCTTCAACTGTTCTCCTCTCATTCTGGAAGATCATTAAAGATTAAAAGAACAAGAAACAACAACAACAAAAAAAGATGCACAAATTGTTGAAGAGTAGTTTCCTTCTCCAACAGTGAGTGTTGTTTTCAGTGCCTGTTAATGGAAACACTGCCGAATATTCAGCAGATATTTAAAAATCCGAGTTTATTGAAGAAAACCAAAGAGCTGAACTAATAAATGTTTTTAAAGGATGTTGGGTTTAAAAATGAAAATCCTCAAGACTGGTTTCCCACACTTTACAAGACTGAGAACCCACGCTTGCTACACAAGATGATGAAGATTAAGAATGTACATATTTTATTTGCATAGTATCTCCTTAAAAGACAAAAAAATGATAGTTTGTACAATACATGGTGCTTTATTAATGCCAGTTGATTCACAGGATGTCAGCGCTGGAATGCTTTGGGGACTTGGATCCAGAACAGGGCTCTGCCGGCTCTGCCACGCCTCGCCCTGCCCCCACTCCAGGCTCCTCTGGGCATGCGCAGGGAGGTCAGGGCTAGGGATGTGCGGTCACTATTGAACTTGGCAGTTGCTTCAACTTGTTAGGGTGGAATTGAGCGCGTTCTCTGACGGTTATCAGAAATCAACCGTCCACCAGGTCCTCGTCCTGGTACTTGTCTTTCAAAGCCACCTCCCTGCCACCCCTCCATTCATTGCTCTGAGCTCCCCTGGGCTCCCCTCGGACAGACCCAGGGAAGGTCCGCTTCCCACATCATCCAGGTGGAAAGCGCGGCTCGGGTAAGGGCCTTTGTCCCAGTGTGGATCTCTTGACCCTAATTAGTGCAGTCCCACAGGACCAAAAGTTCCCGAGGGTCCCTCCGCAGAGTAGGCAAGGTCTGGCGCGAAGGTAGTTCCCAGTCCCTGCGTCTGGGCTTGACAGTGCGGCGCCTTTGGAAACGCTGAAGTCAAGTTTCCTTCTGGTTTTTCCAAGTAAGTCCATGCAAAACGTGGGGACCTCTGCTGGACATGTCTCTGGAGCATCAGTAGGACCTCAAGATTTGGAAGACATGGAGTTAAGTCATTTCCAAGGTAAGTAATGAAAATGTGTAAATGAAACAAGGCTGGGAAAATCCTTAGTAATAGTTATCTATGGTTAAAATGTCAAATCACCTTTGAGAAAAATAAGGAGAAAGCATTTGTATGTGTGTGTGTGTGTGTGTGTGTGTGTGTGTGTGTGTGTGTGTGTGTGAAGTACTGGGACCAAACCCAGTGCCTTCAGCAATCTGGGCAATTACTCCACCCCTGACCCACATCCCCAGCCCTTTTAATTTTCCCTTCCCTTCCCTTCCCTTCCCTTCCCTTCCCTTCCCTTCCCTTCCCTT